CGGGCGTGGTTTCTAAAACACGGGCGTGGTTTCTAAAACACGGGCGTGGTTTCTAAAACATGGGCGTGGTTTCTAAAACACGGGCGTGGTTTCTAAAACACGGGCGTGGTTTCTAAAACACGGGCGTGGTTTCTAAAACACGGGCGTGGTTTCTAAAACACGGGCGTGGTTTCTAAAACACGGGCGTGGTTTCTAAAACACGGGCGTGGTTTCTAAAACACGGGCGTGGTTTCTAAAACACGGGGGTGGTTTCTAAAACACGGGCGTGGTTTCTAAAACACGGGCGTGGTTTCTAAAACACGAGCGTGGTTTCTAAAACACGAGCGTGGTCATTACATTCCAAGTATAGATGTAATAAAAACATTCCTACCTGTTATTGTGATGGATGTATACCTTGCTAATAGTATCCATAGAAACATCACTAAAATAAACAGTTTCGGATTTCACGTGATAATCTATAGCAATGGTATTATGTAAACTATTTAGTATAGTGACTGGATGAACCTGCCCAGATGGTGCATGCATGGATACCTGCTTTATCTCCTTAGTTGTAGTGAACAGAAGGAAGGGTTCACTTGTAAGGACTCCTGTAATAGAACAAGTTAAAAAAAGATCACTTGAGTTTCTGTGTCACATAGTATTTTTTTTACAATATGATAAAATTTCATTTGGAATGTACCAAAAAAAAAACTTTGAATGAATAAAGTCCAACATTCAAGACAACAAAACTTACAGAACTGAAACATATCAAGAATATAAAAAATAAATTTTTCAAAAATGCTACGAATGAAAGAACATTTGAAACAGTATTAAGAAATAATTCATCCGTGCTAAAATCTTCCAACTTTGGGGCATAGATGTACGGGGCTTTATTTTTTTTTATTATAAAATAATTATCGGTAATTTTGATGTCCTTATTTGTAGATGCTCATTACTAAACAAATGGAATAATATGCACATCACGTATCCATTTGACACAAGACCAATCAATTGTAGGTTAACATTCAATTTTGTACAGATTTCAATAAACATTAACTGCTGGTGGCAGGTACAAGCCATGTGCAAACTTTATATGTGCAAATATAATTCATGCACTTGAACCTCGCCAATTAAAAACAAACATCATGTGTATCTTTGATTTAGCCACACGATTTATAAATTTTGGTGATTAATAATTGTAATTTGAAAGTAGTTCACTCACCATGACATGTAGTTGAATCATTCATCATCTGATAAGGTATTGGGCAAGCACAGCTGAACTGTTCACCAGGTCCAATCAAACACATGTGACTACATGGATGCGAATCACAGGGGTTCACACCTACCAAATATATGTAGTATTGAAATTAACAATTGTTTATCCACAGCTTCATTATGTGCTAGGCTTTTTTTTCAGCTTACTGTAGAATACTTTATTTTCACTTGAAATTTTGCTATTTTTGCAGTAGGGATGGTTCAGTGAATATAAAATCAGACAAATGTACCTTTTTTTCTATATTTTTCATTCAACTCGCTAACAATCAGCGAAAATAAACTCAATACAAAACATCCAAAATGTCTATTAGGCAAAAATTAATAATTTAAAAATAAAGTATTTTACAGTATTTTGATGAGAGCTAAATTTGCTAAATTAAAACTAAGTGAATATGCAAATATAATAAAATAAATTCCACAAACCAATGAATTAAAAACCTGGTAAATATGCAAATTAAAGCCCAGTGACCATCATCCCCTTCACATTCTGTCCATTTCAAATTCCGAACACTGGTGAATGTTTTCTCAAACTACATCTGCAAGATGCATTCAAGTAGCTTTCCTCTGACAAGATTTGTCGACCAATTAAAGCATGCCTTAATTACTGGATATCAGCATATCTAACACAAGTTCTGATTGGTCACTGATTATGCAAGATTCAAATACAATTACATACATCTAGGTAGTTAGTCAGACAGATGGAAGACACTGGACGCATCTACCTACAATATTACCAAATTCCCAATCATAATACTTAGCATGTAAGTTCAAGATCACAAAAAATATACATACTGTAACAATATACATGCATGTAGTATTGATTCATACAGTCAAGATATCAGGTATTTTCACAAAGAGAGAGCAGATCATATGTTCACCAACACATATAAACCTATTGTATTACAGTACAGCTGCAATTTTTCCCTCATTCACACTGCATTAAGTTTTATTAAGTTTGCACGTTTACATGCCTATATCACTATAACATTGTCCATTAATCACATTCAAGTCAAGCATGTATTGCCTTTCTATCGGGTTTGTAATAATGGTCAAATCATAGTGTATTGATTGTGCGCATACTAAATGATTAATTTTCACTGGGTTTAAATTTCACTGATTTACCATTTCAGGCATATTCAGTAGGTTTTAAATTCACAGTTTTATCATTTAGATAATGTGTTCTATGCTCAATTTTACATAGTCACTGGGTTTTATTTCACCTCATTTTACAGTCAGCAAAATAAGAAAATTAAAACCCAGTGAATATTTAACCCTTTTACCGTACTCGGCAATAACCTTATAAATAAAAAATTCAAAGTTTGAAATAATAGGAATGACATACTTCCAGGTTGCAGAATACTGTGGTAGACTGTTATTGCCGCGAGTCCTGGTATCCCAGAAACTAAAGTAGTATGATCCTTTCCTGTAAACTTGTCAGCTGTCTCAACAGAGTCCAGCGTCAGATCTGTCCAGTATAACTGGTCTTCAAATACGGTGATTGAAAAAGGATTGTACAAGCGGTCTGTAACAATAACCTACAAAAACAAGTTTCCAAAGTGACTGACTTTTCATTGGCCAGCATATTGAACCAATCAGGGAACAAATTGGTTGTTTGCTGGGATTTACAACCGCTCAGATTGTGAAACTAATGGACTTGTGCATGGTCTTGCAGGATGTGTCATGTATGTGTAATAATAACTTTATTGCATCCTTAGAATTACAATGTTTCTATCAGTTAATAGCAATAAAGATTAGTTGTGATAACTACTACTACAAAAAGAAAGTTAGTTGTTAATGGGATAAAGCAAGTGTTACATATCAAATGGCATTTTAATTTCTTGATTGAAATGAGTTATGAATATAGTTGCCAATCTTTTTTATTATTACATTATCTTTTGAAGTCATCAAGAAATTAAATTTTTTAATTTAAATTAATAGTGTTTGAATGAGATCAACCTAAGTATGTAAGAGATACAGACTGACAGATACAGAGGTAAATCCAAAAATTTGCCTTTTTGTCTGAAGGAAAACTAACAACAATTTTGGAGGGTTATTTTGCCCATTTTTATTTATTTTTTTTATTTTGGATCTAATCAACATAAAATTTTTAAAAATAAATTCAGGTTTGATTTGTTGAAGTTGACAAGAGTTGACTCTCTGGGGTTCAAAGAATTAAGGTAGATTGCCTACTCATGATTTCAAATACCAAGAATCTACTCATTTTCCAATAAATTGTAATATATGGATATTAACTTAAAAAGTTGGGGGGTCAGCAGCTTAATTTTCCGGAAAATAATGGTAATATGTGGATAGTAGCCATTTTGGCAGTATTATCAATAATGGTGGTGCTTTTACCATAGGTTCCTATGGCGGAGATAATATATCTTAAATTGTAGGCTGCTTATGGTGAAATAGGTTCAAAAAAAATTATATATTGTTAATGATAGGGTACTTTTTGTTCTCAGTTATTTCAAAAATCAGGGGATTTAAAAATTGGCGAAAAATGCAATTTTTCTTTAACATTATGCTCCATGGAATTGTTGTAAAGGCTTCATCATTTTACACAATAAACATTCCCATGTAGTTTATGACCAATTATCTCAAAACACCATCTTTGCTTCCAATGATTCAAATAAATTCAGGTTTATGTCTTCTGCATCACAGCCTTACCATGAAATTTTGTCCTTCAGTATCTATTTTCATGATAGCATCAAGAGTAGTATCCACAAAATACAACATATTTGATGTTCTGTCTAATGTTAACCTATTAGGAGTTGTGATCGAGGTATCCACCAGTATATTTCTCCGAGTACCATCCATTCCTGATTTCTCAATCTTAGCAGTCTCACCCCATGAACTCCAATACAAGTATCTAAAATCAAAAGACATGCAGATAAAAAAAAACATCAAGTCAAAAAAAAAGGCAAAAACAAACCCCACCCCCTAACATAAACTTTTAAAAATTAAATGACATATTCTGAGCCTACAAAAAAGGGGGTAATTATTCACTGGGTTTTAATTTAGCTTATTTCGCTGACTGGAAAATGCGCTTAATTAAAACCCGGTGAATATGTAAAATTTAGCATAGAACACATTATCTAAATGATAAAACCGTGAATTTAAAACCCACTGAATATGTCTGAAATGGTAAATCAGTGAAATTTAAACCCAGTGAAAATTAGTCATTTTACAGTACCTCTTTACATTTTGATTGTGCAATCGTGTCTAGCAATACTATAATATACGTATGCAATGTACGCATTACCTATGTGAAATATCAATGCAATTGGTCAATGCATTGCCTAGAAACGGGCATAAACATTATTACAACTATTTTTAACGAAATATATATTCAACATGCAGATCCAAAACATTGGGCACAAGATTATTACTATTTACAAAGACAATAGAAAGTAATTACCCAGTACTGGAATCTACAATAATAGATTGTGGTTGATCAATATCAGAAATAACCAGTGTAACCATCTGACCTTCCAATGTACAAACAGCAATATGACTGTAACCACTATCAGTCCAATATAGCATTCTATTTATCCAGTCAATAGCAAGACTAACAGGTGTGTGTAGATCTAATAAAAATAAGATACACCATTTGACAAAGTCAATGATGACAGTCCCACTAATAATGCATTGGCTGCATGTGACTAAAGATTTTTACTCTGCACAGTAATACATCATTGAATATTAGTTAGACAAAGACCCCGTTTTCATCAAATAAAAAAATGTTCATACTGAGGTAAACATAAACGTTGGGCATACATGCATATTTTTGAAATTTGAGGCAGATTTTTTTTTTTATATTTTCAGGTATGTTAAATCAAATGGCCAAAATAAATGATGATTATGTAAAAAAAAAAAAAATCAAACACTAAGTTGCTATCTGCTGTGACAACTTTGCACATTAAATATTAACGAACACATACATGTATATTTAATGCCATTAGAGTTTTTGTGTGCAAACGACTGATTCTTCGCAATCAGTCACTGTACGCACACACGTGAAAAACATAAACAAGTGTGACAGCCTATAATGTAGTGTTTGTGATGGATCAGCCTCATGATCAGAAGACCAAGTTCAAAGGTTACTTAGTAAGATGTGGTCAATTTTCTATAAAATATCTTGGTCCGAAAATATGGAATAAAATTTCCGACGCGTATTAGATCTATACAGCAAGAAACACATTTAAAAAAAGAGTACAAAAAATATCTTTTGCACACATAGTGTTTTCTTGTACATAAAAATGTATATACATATATTATTTATATATTTTTTTTGCTATTTAATTATCAAGCCCTATTAATTATTATGCCTATTTATTTAAGAAGGTGGGAACGGATTAGATTAGCAGTCACTTGACTGCTATTTTCCGATCCTATTCTCAGATATGTTCTTGCATTGTATTTAGTGTTTGATTCTATTATTATACTTGCCAGCCCCACAAGTCAGGATTTATTTGTTACCAGAAGCAAATATTTGTCATTTGCAATTATGATAAAAAGACTATCTTACAATGCTAAATTTTATCATTTGAAGCGCTGACACCATTTTGAAAGAAATAATATTCCATGATTTTCTAAAACAGTGAATTTAAAAAAACGAACAACAAAATTTATAGTTACAAGTGTATTTTCAATTCATTTTAGTCACGCCCTCCAGCAAATGAATCACTCCTGTAAAATAACAGGGTGTAGACGAAAAGACATTCTCATTGATACCGTTTTGATTTCTGATCATTAGCAAATAAAAAAAATACTGTTTGAAATATTGCTACATTGTAAATGACGACAGACTAAACAAAACCAAACACATTGCTTCCACCCATGAATGCCATTTTGATGTTACAAAATCAAGAATTATTGAAAAGTTGTACTCTTACCAGTGGTAAGTACATTTCTGATATCAGCCATCAATGTTACTGGACAAAATAGATTTCTTGGTTACATCCGTCCAGTAGATCCTTCCCTCAATCATATCAAATCCAAGTGCTACATTTTCATTAGAGTTCATTTCATCTAGTATACTTGTGTAATCCTCAGAATGCAGAAAGTAACCCCTTATTTCATGATCAGTTGTAAATATCAACAGTGGATCGCCATCTGAAATAAAACAGAACATACTTCCAAGATTATGAAATTTTCCATCACCTACTGTAAAAGACTTTATTTTCGCTGGAATTAAGTTTCACTGAAGAGGCTATTTGGGTGTTCTGTATGGAATTTATTTTCACTAATTTTTTGAATGTGAAATATAGGAAAAATGAATACATCACTGAATCACCCCTTCAGCGAAAATAGTTTAAAAAACTTTCGAGCGAAAATATAGTATTATACAATTCTAACACAAAATGTGTTGCAAATTGATATACATGGTACAAAACATTAGCATGTTCATGCTTTGCAAACAGCACCTATCAGTATTACCGGTAATATTTGCATGCAATTATATTAAATATACACCATGTGACATAAATCAATATCGCGCAATGCCATTTACTTTTCAAGTTGGTACACATAATAGAATTTTTTGGCTCAAGTACTATATAGGAATACAACATGCATTCTACATGTATCATTCAAATAAACGTACCATATTTGCTCTATTAGAAACTCGTAAACCAAAAATTAGCTATTTTGATAAAAATCAGAAACAAAATTTGCATGAAATTGTATTCACGCTTGACTGATGCATTTTCAGCACTGTAATGGCCGCCTTTCAGCCATCTTGAATCAGTTTGTGAAACAAATGTCTAAATGTGATTTGGTCTATGTCAGATACAAAGTTCAGGGACATTACATATTACCGATATAATCCAGCCATTTTGAATCCAATATCTGTAAAACTAAATTACATGCATCAAGGTCTCATGACGTTCAAGTTCAAGTTAGAATATTCCAATGTATGAAGACAATACAGTAATTTATTGGGAGATGAATCATAACCTCACATACCAGATACTTTACATGTATGTTCATCTGGTTCAAGTTTATAACCATCCATACACGAACATTTATAATATCCTTTCAGATTAGTGCACTGTTGACTGCATAGACCAATAGATTCACTGCATTCATTTATATCTAATAAATAGAAAATAATTTGCATATCTACATTTACGGCTAGTCTAATACAGGGTGTAATAAGCATATTACCCATGATACAATAGTGATAGTGAAATTACTACTCAAATGCACATAAATACTAAACCTGAAAAATTTACATGTTATATTATCAAATAGCAACTCAAATTTGAATATACTACAAAACTATTCACTTGCATATAATTTCACTATTTGGATATTCTGAGCATATTTAATGAGTTTGAAAGTTGAATGTGTAAAGTTTGAATGAGATAAACTCAGACACGTTAGAGATGCAGATGAGGATGCACAGACACACAGAGGTCAATCGACAAGTCCCCATTTTTGGACTTGGCAGTGAAACAGTGGGTTCTATTATCATTCACATGTTCATGTGGATTTCATTTTAAATTAATGGATTTTACTTATCAGAGAAATGAATAATCAATGTATTCAGAGTATATTGTTATTTAGTATATTGTGTTTTTTTTATATATATTTTTCTCCTTGTACTTTGTGACCATTTTCTTTCCCTCCGGGGATTGTGCAAGAGTCAATAAGTAAATAAACATAATACAACAACATACCTTCACATGTCATATTATCAGACTGTAATCTATGCCCAACTTGACAGTGGCACATGGGACCATTGGGAGTCATGTGACAGAGTTCACTGCAACCTTTCCTTTCACACAGGTTTATAGCTGAAACCATATGAATAGATTTAACTCGCATAATACGAGTTTCGCATTTCTTCTCACTTGTTGCCACTTGAAAAATCTTTAATATAATAAAACACCTCCAGAGCAAAGACTTTGTTTTCTATGAACAGGCTATTGCTGATGAATTTCATGTTTTATTCACATGTAAAAATAATCAGATTGTACAAGCTCGTACTAAATTTGAAGCGGAATTAGCAATTTATGATGACAACATTTGCAAGTTATCAAATCTAGAGAAATTCAAGTGCTTACTAGGCACTAAAGATAACTTCATTGTCAATTGCTTGGGAAAATTTATTGATTTTATTTCTAAGTTTTAGTTTAGTCTATTGTTTTGTTTGTGTTTTTCTTGACCATTGATTTATTGTATCTTTTTTTTCATTCATACTAAATTTTTGTGTCATATAAAATATCTATCTACAAATTCACATATTTAATAAGTACTAAGATGCCAATAAACATTTTTAAGAATAATCACAGTGTGCAACTTTAAATTAATATTTACAGAAAAGGATCTGATAAGTGAGACAATAAAAAAGCAGATCAAGCTAATTTGAAATTAAGTCATGCAAGTTTTAGCAATCCATTAAAACAATCAAATTAATTAATACATGTTGATTGATAGATGATTGGCTTACCACATAAGTGTCCTTCATCAGATTCATCATCACAATCTGCGACATCATTACAGATCAATTCCAAGTTTATACATTGTCCATTATCACACTCAAACGAGTCACAGCCTTCTGATTTCACATGTGCTTTAAAAAGAAAATTAGTTATTTTCAATTTATGGATTGTATTTGGCTGAATTAAAAATTATACAAGAGGGATTTTAATAAAAAAAATATTGTCTTGGTATTGTAAACTAGCAGCTTGTCGGCTGAGATAGCTTCGCTGTTAGCAATGCACATTTCAATTAAAAAAACTGAAGATATTAGAAAAGGAACAATATGAATAGTATCAAAGCAATCGTACTTGCTGTATTTAACAAGAGGTCGAAAATATCACTTTTTACCAAAAATTACAAAAATATCCACCAAAATTAGAGAATTGAAGATATCATCATGAAATGAACAAATCTAAGAGAGGTCTACCGAAGGTACATATACACCAAGTATCAAAAAATTCAGACGTGTAGTTTTCAAGAAGAAGTCGAAAAAGAAAACATTGACATGGACGACGTCGGACACTGACGACGACCAGTGTACCAGTTTTGTTTGGTACACAATTGGTAAAGGCATGTCAGAGAAATGACAGACACAAACAGTATAATCCAGTATACAAGGTAAAGAAAGAAAGTGTGTGATTTACTTACTCTTAGAATGGATGCAATCTAATTCATCAATCCCATTAGAACAATCTATTATCCTATCACAAAGCCAGGATTCAGGAATACACCGCTCAGTACAGTTAAATTCATCTTCTCTGCAGCCTGCTGGTACTAAATAAAAGAACATAGTGCAACTAGTATAACCTTGCCCATAATATACAAATATCAGTAACCATAGGCTAGAGGAATAAACCAGTGTTAAAGATCGGTAGTTGTCACATCACACATGTGCGACATTTGTGTGGATACATATTGATATATTCCCACAAACCAATGCACTCTTCTAATGGAAATCACAAGTATGAGGTTTGACCTGTGCGCGACTTGCACTATATACCACGGGTGACCTTTTTGTACTAGTTGATCTGCGCAACAGCCAACGTCACCATCTTTGTTTATACGAGACCCATACATCTCATGCTTGTGTGGCACGA